TAGATCTAAAAGACTATTAATTGAGTTAAAAAGAAATACACAAAAGAAACTATATATTGGGGAGAATGAGACAGTGTATTTTTATTTATTTATTTAATTAAATATTAAAATAGATTTTCTCCAGTACTTTAAAATTTCAACAATTATTCTATTTAAAAGAAATTCGGCTTATACTTTACACTTTAAACATCAAAGCTCGATTTTGAATTCATTTTTAAAACATCTTTGGTGTAACTTTTTAATAAAACAAAGTTACCTGAAGAAAGTGGTTCACACGGGAATCAAACCACAGATTATTATCACTGTGGCTCTAACAGGATCCATTAAACAGTTTTTCAAAATTATTTAAAATAAATTTTTAAAAAATGCATTAAAATTTTTATTGTAAATTTTTACAAAATAGTAAATATTTCAACGCCTATTAGAAAAAAAAAATCCTTTCCTTACAAGTTATTTTAAGGAAAATGTTTTTTATTTTTATTTAAATAATTAGAATTCTCCCTATTAGATCAGAATACAAGCATGAAGAAGAAGTTGATCATTTCTTTAGTTTAGTCTATTGTACTATTTTTAGATTAAGATACAATATATGTCCTAAAATACTTTCTGTAAATATGTAAATTTCATACATTTTTACAAAATAAACAATCAAATAAAATAAACTACCTAACAACACTAAGTTGTTTTTAAACTCTTGATCAAGGCGTGAAATATTCATTCACCATTGGCGACTGAATAATTAGGGCTAGTGAGTAAGTAAAAGAGTTACACTTTAAAGCACAAATGGCGGTACATTAGATGACACACAACGGGTATTTTTTTGATGACATGTGAAAAGTACATTTTAAATTATATTTATTAAGCAACACTAGAAAACACTAGAAAAAATGACATCTCCTAACAGCCATCATAGGTAGATATAAAAAAAGTATAATTTTGGGTCCCATTATGACATTTTACAGACTGTAAAGCTGACTATAGTACCCCACCACTATGAAAGTCCATGTTGTATAAGATGTTGTTGTTGTTACTTTACGTCGCACTAGAGCTGCACAATGGGCTATTGGCGACGGTCTGGGAAACATCCCGGAGGATGATCCGAAGACATGCCTCCTCTGCGGAAGGGATGGCACCCCCGCTTCGGTAGCCCGACGACCTGCGCGCGAAGTCGAGCACTTTACGGTAGCACAGTTTAACGAGGACCAATACCGCACACCCTCGGTCCCTACGCAGACTGATCCAAGTGGTCACCCACCCGCACACTGACCGTAGCCAGTGATGCTTGACTTCGGTGATCTGCTGTATAAGAAATATATAAAAAATTAAAATATCTAGTAAAAATTAATTCAATCTCATTTTACTGTTTATGACAAAAGGTGTTAGTTTTAAGATATTTTATCATGGTTTAATATTTAACAGGAATATTTTTAAAATGGTACTGTTTATTTGATTTCCATTTACAGCAAATTAATACTAACTAAACACTAGATACTCTGACAACCAACAATAATAAAGCCTAATTTAACTGGTACACTAAACTGATGGAAAAAGGTCCATCAGACTCTAGACTAAGGTTCTAGAGTGAAATAGAATTGTAGAATTTGATACTGGCAGGTGGTATTTTAGTGACGAAAACATGGATACAAATATGGGAACATTTCTGATCTTTTTTTTTTCAATGCCTTTTAATGATATGTGGATAATATCAAAATTATTAAGACCTTATGATTACATTATTTTAAGTTATTATTATTTTGCAATAAATATGTTTTAATCGTTCAGTCTATGGTTTCATTTTTATGGTTTTGGTCACCAAAAAGCTCTTTGTTAATATTTTAAAAATTGTTCATATTTTTTATAAAAACAGTGGCGAGCAAAAATTTTAGTCTGACTGGAACCTTTAAAAATTAAATTTCATGATCGGTTCTAAAAGTTTCCCTTTCTATTTTCAAAAATAAAAATAAATAAATTTCGATTTGTACAAATGATGACAGAAAACTAAAATGTTTAACTTTTGCATTGATTATATGAAATAATTTATCTATGCCATTTTAAATTCTTGTTTTAACACCAGACTTTTAATATTTAGCTATTTTTGAAAGTATTTTCCTCATTTGTTCACAATTTAAGATTTTAAAATTCAATTTTTGTATTTTTAACTTTTTTTTAAAAAAAAATCTTGCTGTGCTTTTAAAATATCTGTCACAGTATTTTTATTTTGGAAATGGTTGTTTCACAAAATGTGGGAAATATTTTGCTAACTTAAAAATAGATAGAACAATATAATATGCTACTTTTAAACGCAATGTGCAACATAAGAATTTTTTCTTTTTTTTTTAAGATTGATAAACAAATTTAAAAAACTCCAATATCCACTTCTGCATCATAAAATAAAAAAAAATTTAATATTCTAATAGCAATCTAAAAACGTGTCATAAAGCAAAAACTTTATTTTATTCGGAGTAATGAGGGAAAAATTCAGACATTCAGCAAGATAAAAGTAGTGAGAATAATAAGTCATGTATCACCACTATAGTTACATAGCTAACTAAGACATAGCTTTTTAAAAAAATAATTTGATATTTGATAACCCAATCATCGCCTCTTACTCAGAGGTAGATTAAGATCTTAAGAGGACACTATATAAGAAGAAACTTTTCATGGCAAATTCTGTTTCATCTCCACAAGTATTTTAGATTTAAAGTTTAGGGAAATTGAGTTCAGGTAATAAGCAAACCATGAAGTTTAAAATGCTGAAAAAATATTTTCAAGATGGAAACAACTTATTCCTAGCACAATTACTTCCCTTGTCATAATCCTGTGTTATTTTCCTTAGGTAATCTGCAATAATCTTTTCATATTTTGAAAATATGTGTTCTGCATTTGAAATCTCATGGTTTATTTTAGGTTTACCTGAACTCAGTTTTCTTTAAACTATAAATTACTTATGTCGAAAGATAATTAGCCATGAAAACCCTTTGATGCAGAATTTTTAAAAACATATTTTTCATTACTTTGTAATATTTTGGGTCAAAATAAGTAAAAACATATATTTGGCATTTTAATAATTTATGGTTATGAAATATAGCATGAAACACCAGCGTCTTTCCTGCATTAAAGGTAAAATCTTCTGAACACTGATCACTTTCAAACAATAATTTTTACAAATTTGCATTTATTTAGATCTAAGAGTGAAAATCATCCAGATACACGAAGATCAAAATCAAAAACAAAGAGATCTCTGCTGCAGAGTTGTTACTCATTTAGCACCACCCAGGAGGCACATGTAGCTTTCAGTAGTTCAGTTCTCACAAAGAACTGCATCTACTCCCGATACTGGGAAGCCCGAGAACTTTTGTTCAATTTAAGTTCTTGATTTAATTTTTGTGTTTGATGTTTTGTTTTTGTATTTTGTATATTTCATGTCTTTCTGTGTTTGTATTTTTCTTTTCTTTTGATCTCTGTACGGCATTAGGATAATGTCTATATTGCCTGCTGCATTGGAAATAAAAATAAATAAAAAAAAAGACCAAAGAGTAACAGTTATTCAGCATTAAAATTTCTTTAATTTACAAAATCAATTATTGATAAATTTTTGAATATGAATGGAAAAAAAATTCTAACTACTTTTTTGGATTTTATATTTTTGCAAGTACAATTACAGTGCAGAGCAAGTATTATTCAGATAACAGATTTTTTTTAGTAGCTATTAGACTGTTATTTATAATTTAAAAAATACCAAAATACATTTTCGCTTGTAATTAAGACTATCGGAAAAAATATATAAAAAGGACACCAGTGTCATCTGCAAGGTAGTTAAAATCAAAGTTGTAGAAAATACTCAGAACACAATACTTTGCCAGAACAAAAAATTTTTGGTTTAAAACACCCCCTCCAAAAAACATTTTAAATAATGGAGCGCTTTTTTTTTTAGTTACAATAACTTTTTCAAAATATTTTTGGAAAGTAAATAATGTAGAAATTTTTTTATACCAATTTTTCTTTAACTGAAACAAAAAAATTTACTTTAAATATTTCTTTAATAAACTAGCAAATATATTAAAAATAATAGAAATCAAAATAGATTGAAATAGTATTGAATTATAATTTATAAACCTAAAGAAATTTAAACTAATAAAATAATACTTTATTTCACCTTGGATGTATTTAACATAACAAAAAATATTCCTTTTCTTTTTAGACAGTATGTCAGTATGACATTAGGAATTAAAAGATATGTTTAATTAAACTTTAAAAAATGAATATTTCAACAAATATATGACATACTTTTCCATCTTTCTTTTGTTTTATTTTCTCAAATAATACGTTCTTAATTTAGCAAAAATAATTAAAAATAGATAGGAAGTCAAATTTGTTTTGCTTAAAAGAGAAACATTCTCAATTTGCTTAAAATAAATGCTTAATTTTTTTATTGACAATAGAAAAATATTGAAGCAATTTTTTTTTTTAATTTGACCAAAACTTTCTCCAGGGTTATCAGAATTCCTTTCTATTGAGAAATATTTAAGTAAAATGACAACTTTAAATTTTATAATTTAGATAATTTTTTTACAACATTTATGCAAGCGTAAATGTTGAATTATTTTGGTACAAATATGAAGTTTCAATGCCATCGACTAATTGAGAGGACTCAAAGACTATAAAATTATAAAGCATGAAAAAAAAGTCACTAATAATCTCCGTCAATATAATTTATTAAAAAAAATAATAATTTGGCGATATGTCTAAAGTGACTCATTACAGTTAAACATAAATTACTAAAATAATACTTGGAAAAACTTCTGAAATAAAAACATACTTTATTTAAACAGTTATAGCATAGATCTTCCGAATTATATAATAGAAAATTTAATACAAATAGGTATGTGCATTTATAATGCTGCATTGTTGAATAAAATTCAACATTCAAAACTGTTGTTTTGTAATAGAGAAAAAAAAAAAGAAATTATTTTCAAAGCATGAACAGAAAAAATACTTACACGCTAACATTCATAAAATGTAAAAACTCAGAAAGAAATAAAATGAGTATAAAACAGCAACAGCAAACAGAAATAATTGCTCCAGTCAATGTCGGCTGAGTCAAATCTTTTGGAATTTTTCGATAAATGTCAAATCTGCAAAGATCAGAAATGCAAACTTTAAATATATATATATATGAGGATATCATGAAACAGATAAATTATTTCTAATCTAAGTCAAATTTGCATTCCTCAAACTCAAATTAAACTGTTATACACCCCAACTGTTTTGGGATCAATCACAAAGCTGACTATTAATCAATTTTTTAATGAGAAACAGATACTGGGACTGACAATAAAGCAAGTAAAACTTTTGTTTTTAAGAATTCTATGAAATATTTTAGTAAAAATATGATACTTAAATTATAGTCGCATTCAGCTCTGCAGAAACCGGTGCTAAAAGTTTTTGGTTTCCTTCAATAGAACAATTTTTGATTCTGAAATAAGATTCTGTTTCTATTAGGACAAGAATACAAAGAAATGATGATGGGGTGACGGAAGAAACAAACAGGAAACAGAGATCGCTAGTTTTTTGTAAAATTTAGTTGATTTTGTGCATTAAGTAATGATTTTGCATTAAAATAAATTTTTTATTTGACTAATGCAAAAATACTGTTGCCTGACATAAGCTTGGAGCGAAATTAGAAACAAGCCCTAAACTTTTACAAAAACAATTAAAGCTTTAGACCTGAAAATTTAAATTTTCAGTCAGCGGCAGTTAGACTAATAAGTTTGTAGCCACTTTTCCCTCAAACCTAATGAGTCAGTGACCAATACCGATTGGTTTTTTTTCATCTAATAGCCTTTTTTTTATTTTTTTTTTACTTAGATTAAATAAAAACTAATTTTAAAAAGAGTTTATATTAGAAATAATTTACGGTTATAACAAGTTAATTCCACAATAAATGTGACAAAATTTAGTTAAACAATGAAAAAAATTTAAAGAAAAAAAAAGAGATGGGAAAAAGTAATCGATAGTTTAAAGTTTAATTAGTCCAGTAGTTTAATTAAGACGCCACTTTATTTTGTGAACTCTCAACATGGGCTGGGATAACCTGGTCGTTAGGGTGCTCGGTGGGCCCAAGTATGAGAGTTCGAACCCCGTCGGCCGAAGACTTCCCGTGTAGTAAATGGTGACTGATGCACGTTAAATCTGTCAAGCCAGTAAAGTCCTCCATGTTCCTATAACAAATCAATATCCCTGGGGGTACTGGATTGGATATCGATCATTCTCTGATTCAGGGCAAAATAAGGATGTGTGGATGAATGAATGGGTCCAGCCTATAAACGGGTGTGACATATGGTGCGGCAGAAGTAGAATTCTTGGCCATAGAGAAGCCACTGGAAAAACAAGAACAATCGCCTCTACCTAAACAAGTTACTCTCAACGTGGCAAATGATCATTTTCATGTCTATAATAAATTTTAATTTCATTTACAAAAATTTTCATTTAAATTGAGAAAGTTTATTTTCTTCTTACTTTTGATTTTCTTTAATTGCAAGAAATATATGATAGACACAGGAAGGAAATTATTCAACTGAATTATATGTCTAATGGAGATTTAATTGTGTTTTTTGCATTTATTGTTAATGATTTTTTTTAAATGATTGAATATTATTGGAAAATATCACAGTAGATGAACTCATCTAGTGACACTTAATAAACACTTAGATTTTATAGTTTAATTACATGTTATCACAGCTCAATCAGCAACGTTTGACTTAATTTTTTTACAGAGCTGTGAAAATAACTTACAATCAACGCAGAAGCCGAAGGTAGAATTAGATAATCTTTATGTCCTCCATATTGACACGGAGATATCAAAACATTTAATGTTATAATTATTATTAATACGTTTGTTAAAAGACTTAATATTGTTTTTTTTAAAACAATTTATTCCTACCTGTGAAAATATATTGTGTGTAAAAAAATTTCAAAAAAATTTAATGGGTGTCTCAAATGTGAATTTTTATATTTCTGGGAGAAAGGAGGAAATTGAAACACATAATTACAATACAGTGGGTGATCGGTTAACGAACATAATCCATTCCAAGACTATGTTTGCTATCCGTATTGTTTGTTAACCGATCATCAATTCACCATAGACTTCTATGTGAAATCGATTAATTCGTTCTGGAGACCCTAAAAATTAAATTTTAAGAAACATATAATTTCTTAAAAAGTTTTTTAAAAAATAATATATACATATAGCCTTGCATATTAGTCAGTCCTTTTCATTTTTTTTGCTTATGGGGCGTTGAAGAGCATGTCCAATGTCGATTGCTTTTCTCTCTTTTTCTGGATTTTACGGAAGTAATAAATAGCATTGTCGTTGTAAAGATCCCCAACCCTACTGACATCAGCTAGGCTTGGGTGCCATTCTAAGACCATTGCTCTGACATTCTCCCACTTTTTCAAAAGATCTTTAATGGCAGATGTCGGCATTGGTCCGCTTTCGTCTTCCTCTTGTTGAAAAGGAGACACATTTAGCTGTGTTTCTTGGTGTTCTTTATTCAAAATTTCTTGGAGTTCTTCTGTCGTCAGTTCATCTTCATGTCCCACTATGAGCTCTTCTATGTCATCCTCGTTCACCTCCAATTCCAGATCTCTAGCAGTTGTCAAAATTTCATCCATAATTTCAGAGGTGCCTCCCTGATCACCTTCGTCTCCTTGAACAAAGGATGGACACAGCTTTTGCCAAGCAGAAATCAACTGTCGCTGTGTGACTTCTGACCACGCCTTTTGAATGATACGAATAGCTTCAAGAATGTCAAATTTTTCTTTCCAAAACTTTTTTAAAGTCATTGTTGAGGAGAATTGGCTTGCTTCAAAACACCAACGAAACAGCACGCGAGTGTACAATTTCTTGAAAGCCGCAATTACCTCCTGATTCGCTGATCATGGCTGTATCAGCGAAGTCGTATTCAGAGGTAAAAACTGAACTGTCAACCAGGGAAAGTCTGTCAGCAAATTATCTTCAAGATCCTTTGGGTGTCCTGGTGCAGTGTAAGCAACATTATTCAGGAGAGATGAGAATTGATTTTTAGTACGTTTCTCATATTTTACGTATTTTTACGGCGATAGCGCGTCATCGGCACCTTTGTATTTTATAGTCTGCACTGTCTGAAAAAATTAAGAATTCGCTTAATTTATTCACCATGTCAGCAAATCCACTCGCCCATAACTTATCAGCTGTCAGAAAATATTGTTATTCATATTGAAACTAAAGTATTCAAATGTGTATTGATTTTAGTCATAATAATAATTATTGAATGATCTTTAAATTCATTGTTAATTCAAGTTTCATTTGGTAATTATTAATACTAAGCATGCTTTAAACATTTCTCCTTTCAGTGATCTTATTTTGTATACAAAATGATAACAAATGTTAAATTTAATTTTTTTCGTTGTTCGAACACAAAAATCTTTCTTGAAAGTGTTCATTATCCGAACACACAAATCTTTCGTGAAAGTGTTCGTTAACCGATCACCCACTGTAGTTCCTTCAATTTCTCATTAAACGAAAAGAAAATGAAAAAAAAAAATTTTCTTTAATCTTCTAAATTTCTGCAATTAAATTTTTAATTCTTAACTTTTCAGAATTTAAGACTAAAATGATTCATGAAAATTCTATTTAATTACCTGAAATAGTCAGGGTGATTTTTTAGAGGTATTTTAATTATTGAGGGGATATACACTATCGACGAGTTTGAGCTTGCCCGTGGAGGTCCGAGCTCGCCTGAGTTCAAAGAATTTTAATCTGAGCGTGAAATGAGATAAACAGGATTTTTTTTAGGGCCGTTGGATAATAGCAAAATTTTGTAGAATAAACTATAATTATAAAAAATTATTATTATAAAAAAAAAATATTTTTATCACTAATATGTAATTACACAAATTGTAAGGTGAAATATCTAGAATTGAATGTGGAAGATAAATGTCAAAGAGGAAGTTTTGTTTTTGTCTGTAAGATTCCTTATCAGAAACCACCTTCGTAAACCATAAAGTTTAGGAATTTATTTTTTTCATCAATTGCAATATGTAAGAATGTGTTTTTCAGTACAGTAAACACTTTATTAAATAAAAATAAACATTCCTTTCATAAAATATTAAGTGTAGCATTTAAAAGCAGAATTAGTTTTATATCATCTATTATTTCCTGAGAATTATTAATGATTAAAATTTACTGTTCCAGAATATTTTGTTTTAACTTAGTCTGTTATTATTTTGGAAGCTCTTGCTAAAGTGTATGAAAATTTTATCATGGGTCTAAAGTCTGCTTGAGGCCAGAACCTTTTTTCAGTAAATAAGAACGAGACCAAATTTTAGGCCTAGGTTGAGCCTATCTCATCTCTAACATATATCCACCATTTCCGTAGTAAATACTTAAAAAAAATGATAATTCAATGCAATATTCATTTTCCACACTAGATAGTCCATTTTATATTTATAAAGGAGATTTGAATAAAGAAATTGTAGTCACACGTTGAATGCAACAGATTAAAATAAGTTAAAGGAGCATTACAAAATGAGGAAAGCTGCTTTCATTCATAAAACGCTAAAACCTTTTTTTAATAATAATGAACAGAATAATGTTAACAAGATTCAGAGCAATTATTTTGTGTTGATTCTTTAGAAGTACTAAATGTAATTTTATTTTATTTACTCTTGCACTGAGGCTTCAATGTTTCAACACTCAAATTACTGAGTCAGGATCATTGAATAACTGTACCATTCATTTTCTATTCAGCTTTTAAAAAAACTGCACATCTGTAACTCAGATTAAATGTAAAAAACTTCTAAAATGTTAATGACACTCTAATATTGGTGCTAATAACATTTTTAATTATAAAACAAACATGTTATTTGAAACTAAAAACAATACTTTCTTTACGAAATATCATAATAGTTGTACATCATTAATGCTCGGCATAATGGTTTAATTTTTAATGCGCCATATTTATAGTAAACAGAATGGAACACTCAAGGCAAAAAAGTATAAATTATAATTATTTAGAAATGTCTACTGTGATAAGTTAAAAGATAATAGCTACAAATAAAAAAAAGGATAAAATAAAAGCAATTTTCGTACCGGCAATATGTTACTAAATTTATTAAAAGAATAACCATCAAAATACTAATAATTTAGACAAATTTATGAAATTTTTCTCATACTGAAAGGAATGAGAATCAAAAATAAATAAAGCAAGATAATTAAGGCTAATATTCACATACAATAACTAAAAATTCTTTTTAAATTATGTAAACAAACTCTTAACCCTAACGCGAAAAAGCCGGTAGGTCGAGTACATGACTAGAAGTAAAAGCTATTTATTTACCTTCTCACATCAAAAGCCATATTTAAAATAGATATATAAAAGTTTATAAAATTATTTTAAGAGAATCGATTTTGCAATAAAATTTATAATATTGTTTTTATAATTTTTGGATATTGACACTTCAAAATCGTCTGCTGCCTGGTTTCGAAACAAAACATTAGCTCCGGGCTCACCACGTTGCTCCCGACGTGCAGAGTATTCATTGGCTTATTCTAAATTTAATTGCAATCGATTCAAAACATACATAAAAGATACTTTAAATAAAAAATATAAATTTTAGTTAGTTGCAATTTACAAAATAAAAGTGATTAATAAAACACAATACAAATGTATTTACATCAGCACAACCAATCAAAATTAATGTTTACACCTACGACTGGTATCCATTGATTGAAACGTGTGATGTATTCCTCCGCCATTGAAAACTCCTCAAAATTATAATAAAATTATTCTTACATTAAATTTAACATATCATATCCTTTCCTTTAATGTGTCTTTTATCTGTTTAGATGATTTTAAAATGTATTTGAGTATTTTAAAGTTTTTATGTTGCAAAAGAAAGTGTGCCTCTCACTTACCGCGTAGACTTACACATGAGTGATGCGTGCTACGGAGGTCTCATTCATAACTTGTGCTATTTCCATTTCATAACTAGTATCCTTGTTTGTAGTAGCAGCGTGAGGAGTGTTTGTAATAAGTAACGTATTCAAAGCAATGTTTTGGCTCCGCTGCATTGGATTTTGTGCCCTTTTTTAACGTTTATAGAGCTTTTTAGCAGAGAGCTTATTATTATTCTTTAATTTTTTTTGATGCCTACCCTCAGTGGACAAACGAGGCGCTCGCGGCAGCCCCATCATTTTTTGGCGGGAAATATGTATGGAATTTCGCCCGAACAACTTCGAGCTTACGTGAACGTCAATGATGAAAACACGGATGATAGCAACGTGGGCAGCCTAAAGCACCGCGTGCTTGTGTTGGACTGTCGGTCATTTGTGGCATTCAACAGTGGGCACATTATTGACGCAGTAAATGTTCATTGTCCGGCTATACTTAGAAGACGGTGCGGTGGACGTTTGCCGCTAAGGACTATAATTCCAAACAGTAATATCCGGTCCTCAATATCAAACAATCACTGTTTTCCTATTGTACTTTATGACGATTTCGGACAGAATGTAAAAAATTTAAGTGATTTGACTGGCGATGAGTCTACGGCTGCATTTGTGGCTAAGTGCTTACGCAACGAAGCAAATTTACAAACAATATACTACTTGGAAGGTAAATATTTTTTATTAATTTTGATAATTTGAAAACAGTATTTTAATATTTCTTCATGGCTTTTAAGTTGTAGTAAATTTCCTGGTTTATTTTAGTATCATTGTAGATTTATGCATGAATATTTGAAATGAGCCTCTTCAAATTCGATAATACAAAACTTAGTAATATTTTTTTTTAAATTACAATTTATGTATATAAAAACAATTGCTTTTATTATCTAATTCCATATTCTAAAGCTAGCTTAGGTAATATTGTTTCACGTCATTTTATTATTTTTGTCAACAGAATCAATAATGACACCATGTTTTAGTTTCGTTTAAATGCAAAGCCCATAATCGACAAAACTTTAAAAACCCAGTAACGCACTTCAGTACTTTTTTACGTTTTCATGGATTTCCTTCTATACTAGTTTAAGAATGAATTGATTTAAAGAAATTCTATTCTTAGCGAAGAAGTCTTCTATTCGAAGACTTCTCATTGAGTCATGCTAACCCCAGGGCTAAATATGGGTGCTAGCATTTTATCAGGCATGTATTACCTTTTTAAATTATCAAGAGATGAAATAATAAATACTAACAGTAGTCATAATCTAAGTTGCTGTTTATTGCAAGATAAATATGAAAATTCATTTTTATGTTAAATAGTGCATCATATTTAGGTCACTAGCCTCACACTTTTATCCCTTAAAATAGATCTGCAAAGTTCGTATGTGTATAATAAATGTTGAAGTGTTTATTGACAAATCTAACGAATCCCCCCCCCCCTGAATGTTCCATCCGCAAATCTGCATTGGGTTGATCTTCGAAAGCACACTAAGTCGAGAAGGTTTCAATATTTAATTTTACTATGCTAACTGTCTTTAATTTTTGTTAAGCTTAAAGCTAATCTATGTATTTTATTTTTATTACGTATTGTTCAATAGCAATAGAAATTCTAAATGTATAAATTATTGCTTAGTTTGATATTTATTAACTCTTCATCACAAAACTTTGTGTTACTCTATAGCTAATGCGTTACTTAGTAGCTTGGACAACGAATAGAAAACGTATATATTATGTTTCCTTCATTATTGTCCAAAAAAGTAATCAGGAAAAACTAATTTTTTTAAAATATGGATAATTGATTTAATTTAGGTATTAGAGTTAACGATAGTATTCTAACTTCGCTGTGACATTTTTTAGTTGTCCTGGATTTAAAATGTGAGCGTTGCCTATGTATGTTTACATTTTAATACATAATTTTTTATATGTTATTGTGTACTAATTTAACGTTTAGCGAATCGCCTGAATTAAAAAAAGAAAATTTATGGATTTGTAATCTTTTTACAAATAGTTTGCAAAAGTTTTCGCAGTCTTACGATTTTCATTTGATAGAGGATCACAGTAACAACGCATGTTCTTTGACTTCACCTGTGTTGGTATCGACGGAAAGCCCACCGTACGCAATTCACCTTTTATTCTAATTTTTTTGAAAGATCGTGCGTCTAGCAGCTGCAGAATTATGAATAAAAGCGAGGTGATAAGTCGGGAGGGGGGCATAAGTAAGGATGTCACGCGCAAGGCACGCCTGTGATTTTTTTATTGCTTTGCTTATTTTCTTCAGGGGCTGAGGGGGAAGAAAGAATATTATAAAAAAATTCTTCTATTCTTATAGTTCTTTTTCCTTAGTATCTTCGGAAGAAAAAAAATGGTGGAAGCACGTTTTATGACGGAAACTTGGTGTAGAGGTATCCTCAATAAGTTTTGTTTTGAATGCGTTTCCTCGCGATCCCTCAGGGTTTTTAATTCGTTTTTATCAGGAGGATTGGTTAAGGTTACGAAGGTGGGGATAAATATGTCGGATATTATGTGTGGAAGAGGGGTTGGCAAAAGTACGAGGGAATTTTGTAGGAAATCGCAGATGTGGTCCACTTCCCTTTGTCGTTAGCAATTGAATGTTTCCGTACTTTATCTTGGATTAATGTGATTATGATTTCTATTTTTCCTTGATACTTGAGCAATTAATGATCGTTAAATTCGTTAAGATTACGAGGCGTTGTGTGAAAGGCTTTATATATAAATTGTTTTCCGGCATAGAGTTAATCTGAAATTACATTTTTTAGAGCGGGGTTGCAGTACGATATGGGAATTTTTTTAAAAAATTTGCTTGATCGCTTTTCGAGTTTTCAACTGGTCAAACTTAATAATTTTTTTTTTTGACAATTTTTTTGTCCCGTGCTTGACTCTTGTCCAAGAAGAAAGTGTAAATTTGTTTAAATCTGGAATATCTCAGTACCAAATGTTGCAGTTATTTAATGATCTTAGAATACCTGCGCTTGAATTATATTTAATTACCCCACGGAAATTTGTCAGTACAACTATGGCGTACACGAGGTTAAATGTGCCCCCACATGATTTATAATTGTACCTTATCTTACCAAAAATATATCAAATTATAATATGAAACAAAAACACTGGAGAGGCTTACGGATATTAATATGGGATAAACAAGATAATTGAATTGAAACATTGACTATACTTATCACATTGAAATAAAAAATTTATCTTAAAAATATAAGAATTACTCTCTATCTACGATAGTATTTAAAGTTAAGGGCTAATTTATTTTATAACCGACCCAACCGATAGTTTATGGCCATTAATGTTCAACTCCGTTTCCTTGTTATTTTGAACCAAACCCAGAAGACAAGGGAACTCCTGTGATTAGATTAATTAGCCTTCGTGGAAGACTTTTTGATAAAACTAACCAGCATTTGCTTTGCATGGGGATGAAACCCATGAAGACATCGCATGGTTAGCCTAACTGAAAAGGTATTGTTATTTATCATGAATGTAAAGTAAGTAGCGAGCTATAATTCCAGTCCAACTGGTTTCTCTAATGCAAAAATTTCATGCCTTATCCTGGGCCTGACTATATCGGCTATCTAAAGCAGCAGTTCCAAATTTTTTTGGCAATGGAATCCTAATTAACGCTCTTTTTCGAAGCTCTATCGCCAAGGAAAATAGTCATAGCTTAAGTGCATTACACTTGAAACAATGCGATAATTTTAAACTATATAATATTGTTTTGAATTGTCTGGACTTCAGAACAGAAAAAAGTAACTTAATATTTTAAGTTATTTAACTTTTTAAAAATAGCCAATTCGGCAACATTTTTCCACCTAGATTGAAAATTATCAAAATCACTGCTTTATTCTTAGTTTTTGCAAATTTTTATGATCCCAAGTAATTCAGCATTGAAGTAAGTTTTTAAATATTAAAAGAGTAGACCACAAACACTTCATTTTCACAAAACTGGCTTTTCTCCATACTGATGTTTTGCGCCATTTTCAAAATAAACATGGACTGCACAGGCTTTAGATAAGCTAAACTTGACCTAACAGTCGTCATAAGTAACAGTTGCAAACTCACAGCAGTTATGACATATTATTCGCAAAGAAGCATTTTATATTACGAGGGAGCTTTCGAAAAACAGTCTTAATTGACCTTTTAGCGGAACACCTACGTTGTAATTATTGTGAACATTTTAACCGGAAAAAAAAGTAATTTTGGTAATTCCTTTAAAAATATATAATGGAAAACTTTTTTTTTCATTGTTTTATCAATACTAATCTTAACCGTTAAGTTCACAAGTATGGAGCGAAATTTAGTGAAAGTTGAAAAGTATAAAATAATCTGAATTGTGGTTTTGGTTAGTTTTACTATCAATGATAATAGTTATTACAGGAACATAAATTTTTTAGTGTAGATTTTGTTCTTATGATTTCCAATTGAAAAGTTTGAGAAATTCATAAGTGCATATCATAGACAATTTATTTAATATATAAGTAGGAAAAATGTAAATATATTTTTTTTAAGTTTTGCTAGTTTCTTTTACTGGGATTTTACTTATTCAATTCTTTGGTTATTATAAAATTATTTAACTATTGTATTACTAATTGGGTGTAAATGTAATTGCAGGTCTTAAGGTACAATCTGCTAAAAAAATTATAACTCACGGAACCCACAAGTTCCGCGGAACAACTTTTAGGAACCGCTGCTCTAAGGAATATTTTTTTTTTTTTTTTTTTTTTTTTTTTTTTTTTTTTTTTTTTTTTTTTTTTTTTTTNGTAGCGCTAAATTTCGTTGTGAATATTTTTAGTTCAACCGGTGTTGCACTTCAATAAATAGTAAATTTCTTGCAGTGTTCTCTTGAGAAGAAGATGCGTTCGGGAAAATAAAAGGTCACTCGCGAGCATATTTGTGCATAAAAAGGAAGTGAAAATACACTTCCTCTTTACTTCACGCTCGTTACCCGCACTCGCCAACCGTGAATTTTCTTTTTTTGGCAAAAAGAAAAAGAACAAATTTCTGTGTGACTATTATCCTTTGAGCATGAAAATAGTTTTCTTTGTCGCAAACGTAATGTTTCTCTCGTACGTGCTCCTTATTTTATTTATCAACAAATGCCTTTTTTCGCTTCCTTGTCGATTTCCAAGTTCCTAGTGGGGTGAGATGAACTCTTATCGCTGCAATGTTATCGTTGCATTTGTTTTTCGCCATTTTGATATGTGTAGTGTCAACATGATTAAATACGGCGTTTATCTTCCTACAAAACAAGGGGTGTACAACCTATGAACAGCAAACCGAAAATGGCGCCCAAAGACTTTTAATTTGGCTTCCGAACCTGTTTTAATATAGTAATTCTAATATAAAAGTAAAAAGATACACAGCATTTTTTTCAACCAAGGTCTGTAGTAGTTACTGATCTAGTTCATTGCTCTTAAAGTATCAAAATGTGACTATTAATTTCATTGTTAAAGTTGTGTTCCTACAATGGGTTCAGTGTTTTGCATTGAAATACCATTGCTTAAATTTGGAAGTAAACTAGAGAAGAAAATAAAGGGGAAAAGAACTCAGCCAATTTGATAATCAGAATATAAATTATTTCAAGATTACAGTAAACATCAAATTTATTGTATTAGCGAAATTTGTTTTCGAACTAATTCTAGGTCAAGTGTA